TTCATATATACATATACATATAAATATATGAAAAATTGATGTGGGTACTCAAATGAAAGGTCTTCACGAGTGTAACATCGGAATGAACTTATATCTTTAAAAAGGCCAATATTTCACAAGATATTTGTTAAATTGCACTGTACTTGCTTAATTATTGACCTTTTTAAAGAAAGAGCTTTCATTTGAGTACCCACTATGCATTTTCATATATTTTTCATATATACATATACATATAAATATATGAAAAATTGATGTGGGTACTCAAATGAAAGGTCTTCACGAGTGTAACATCGGAATGAACTTATATCTTTAAAAAGGCCAATATTTCACAAGATATTTGTTAAATTGCACTGTACTTGCTTAATTATTGACCTTTTTAAAGATATAAGCTCATCACAATGTTACACTCATCAAGAGCTTTCATTTGAGTACCCACATGCATTTTTTATATATTTTTCATATATACATATATATAATATATATAAATATATAAAATATAGGAAAAATTGATGTGGGTACTCAACTGAAAGGTCTCGATAAGTGTAACCTCGGGATGAGCTTATATCTTTAAAAAGGTCCATATTTCACAAGATATTTGTTAAATTGCACTGTACTTTCTTAAATATTGACCTTTTCAAAAATATAAGCTCATCCTGATGTTATACTCATCAAGAGCTTTCATTTGAGTACTCATATGTATTTTTGATATATTTTTTCATATATACATATATATAAATATATAAAATATATGAAAAATTGATGTGGGTACTCAATTGAAAGGTCTCGATGAGAACAGCATCAGGATGAGCTTATATTTTTAAAAATATCAATAGTTCACAAGGTACAAGGTCATTTCTTAATTATAAAAATCAATTTAGAGCTTATTCGTCTAAGTTTAATTTTTTTTTAATTATTGATTAAAAAATAATTTTCCAATTTTTATTAAAATTAAAAACTTAAAAATTATACTATCAGATTTGTAAAAAATGACATAATAATATTTTGTCGAGTTAAATTACCATAACAACAAATTTATCTCTAAAAGATAATTATTCTCGGCAATAAAAATAACTCGAGCAATAAAACAAGTTGAATAAAAAAGTTGACCGTATATATCAGGTATAATTAAGACTGGGATAGTTAAACTAATAATTTGCGTCTTAACGAATGGAAAGCAGCGTGAGCAGAGAAAGATATTCAGAGCGCACGAGAACCCGATACGACTCACCTCCGTGAGGATTTCACCGTAGAGGTGGCAAGAGTTGAGGAGGGTGTGTAATACCTCGGCGTGGATCGATAGGAAGGCCAGAGGGTTGACTCTACTTCTATATATCTTTATATATACATAGAAATATATGTATGTATGCAGGAACAGAATGTGTGGGTGACGCGCGCGCCAACTACTAAGTGTACGTGCTCGTTGAATCCGAAAGAGGCTCATTGCTTTACTTGCATACTTCTATCTGTAATACACCTTTCTTTTCCAACTTTTTACTCCCCCACTCAAGCTCTATTATGTATTCTATATATAGCTATAATATTCCATCTACATTTTGTTTCTATATTTCAATTCCCGCCGTTATTTCTAGCTACAGACCTCGAGACATTCAAAATAACATAAACACCGATCAACAATCCAAGCAATTGCCAGACTTGTTTATCGGAGATAAAACATTTTTTCTCCGAACGAATTATTGCTTTGTTTGTATTAATTTATATATTTTATTATTCATTTATTTGTTTATTTCTTAAATTTATTTAATCTATAAATTTTTATTTATTATTATTTCAAATATCTCATTACAACATTTTTGAGTTTTTTAAATTTTCGCGGGGATTTTAACGCGCATGCGCGTACGCGCTACTGCCATTTTGTCGTCCAAAGAAGCTTGCTTTTCTATTATTGGACTATTTTTATTAATTTTTTATCAAAAATTTGATTATTTTTATGATTTATGTCGATATTTATCAAACTAGGAACTTTTCTTCTCATTCTTTAGCCAAAAAAGTTCATAAATTATTAAATAAAAGTAAAAACTATCAGAAGTCTAACATTATTTGATAAGTCAAATACTTTAGCCTATTTTATATAATCTACCACATAATTCCTATGAATATTTGTTAATTATTATTTAAAATATCTCATTACAACAGTTTTGAGTTTTTTAAATTTTCGCGGGGATTTTAATGCGCATGCGCGTGCGCGCTACCGCCATTTTGTCGTCCGGAGAAGCTTACTTCTATTATTGGAGTATTATTACTGATTTTTAACCAAAAATTTGGTAATTTTTATGATTTTTGTCAATATTTGTCAAATTAGAAACTTTTCTCATTTATAAGCAAAAAAAAAACTTATAAATTATTAAAAAAGAGTAAAAAATTTTTTAGAAGTCTGATGAGTCAAATACTTTAGCCTATTTTATATAATCTACCACATAATTACTATGAATACTTGTTAATTATTATTTAAAATATCTCATTACAACAGTTTTGAGTTTTTTGAATTTTCGCGCGGGTTTTAACGCACATGCGCGTGCGCGCTGCGGCCTTTTTGTCGTCCAAAGAAGCTTACTTTTGTTTTTGGAGTCTTTTTACTGATTTTTAACCAAAAATTTGGTAATTTTGATAATTATTATCAATATTTATCAAACTAGGAACTTTTCTTCACATTTATAAGCAAAAAATCTTATAAATTATTAAGAACGAGTAAAAACTTTTCCAAAATTCTGATGAGTCAAATACTTTAGCATATTTCATATAATCTACCATAAAATTTCTATAAATATATGTTAATTGTTGTTTAAAATATTTTAATACAACAATTTTTAGATTTTCAAATTTTCGCGCGGGTTTTTATGCGCATGCTCGTGCGCGCTACCGCCATTTTGTCATCCAAAGAAGCTTACTTTAATAATTTCAGTGTTTTTGCCACTTTTTATGGATTTTTAAGAAAAATTTTGATACTTTTAATAATTTTTAAGGATATTTAGCAAACTGGGAACTTTTTTAAGTTTTTTAATAAAAAATTTGATGAAAAATAAACTTGTAAATATATAATAATAAGTAAAAACTTGTTATTGTTAGAAGAGTCAGATAAATTTTGTTAACTTCTTAATGAAGAAAATAAAACTATTAAAAAAATTGATAATTTTATTTTTAACTTTTTGTTAAAATTTATTAACTAAAAAAAATTAATACATTTAAAAAATGTTTGTCATGAATATATTTTTTTTTTAAGAAGTAAATTATTAATACAAAGCAAATACATAAAATTTGTAGGATTAGATTGACAAAAAAAAAACATAAAAAATAGAGGCTTGTCAATAGATTGTAATAATGTCTTAACGTCGGAGGAGTGTAAACCGAGGGGTTGTTATATTACAAGCTGAGAAGAATAGAAAGAGTGGAAAAAAATGAGAGAAAAGCTAAAGAGAGTAGAGTCCTGGTTAGGCGCGCATACAAATCGATATCTTGCCGGTACGGTGTCATGGAAGTCAAGCCCTGGCCTCACACTCTTAACCCTTCATCAATATCGCTACGATTTAAGCGGGGAATTTATTTTTCATGCCACGCTCGAATAAACGTCAACATTTTACTTTGTTTTGGGAATAGAACTGCAATTGGTATGACGAGCAACGTCCGAATTGCCATGGATACGCTTAACTTTATTTGTTTAATTATTGATTGACGCAATGGTGCAATCGTCTAAATTACTTATACTGGTATTATATACATACACCGAGGAAGAAGACTGCTAACAATCCCGTATGATTGTTTGTTCAATAGTCCGACACCTCATTGGAGTGATGCCAAAGCGCGGACGGGATATTTATCTTATTTTTTTGGGCTTACGCTGCATCAAACTTTTTAATTTTTAATATTTATACAGTAAAATTCGGATATTTATGCTTTATTATTTTAGTATTCATTTTTTTTTAACTATTAAACGCTCCCATTATTCTGTTTATTTTTTTATCAATTAAAATTAGGGGAGATTCATTTTTTAGATTGAATTTTTAGAAGTAAAAATTGTATCTTTGTTCGGTTGTAATTAATTAGTCTTTTAATTAAAATAAAAATTTTTTTAATTTATTAAAAATAATAATAAGCAACCTTGCAGTCATTATGTGACTGCCGTGACTTGTAAACTATAAATAAATAAAATTTTGCTTTATTAAATAATGAATTTTATTAAATTGCACAGTAATTTCTTAAATATTAACATTTTTAAAGATATAAGCTCATCCCGATGTTACACTCGTCAAGAGCTTTCATTTGAGTACCCATATGCATTTTTGATATATTTTTCATAAATACATATATGTAATATATAAATATATAAAATATATAAAAAATTGATGTGAGTACTCAAATGAAAGGTCTCGATGAGTGCAACATCGGGATGAGCTTATTTCTTTAAAAATGTCAATAGTTCTCAAGATACAATGTCATTTCTTAACTATTGACATTTTTAAAGTTATAAGCTCATATCGATGTTACATTCATCAAGAGCTTTCATTCAAATACCCACATGCATTTTTGATATATTTTTCATATATACATATATATATAAAGATATAAAATATATGAAAAATTAATGTGGGTACTCAAATGAAAGGTCTCGATGAGTGTAATGTCGGGGAGAGCTTATATCTTGAAAAATATCAATAGTTCACAAAATAAAAGGTCATTTCTTAATTATGTATCTAAATATAAATCCCAGTCTATATGTTTATCATAATAAATTGACTATCGGTAAGAATGATATGAAACCATGAAAAGGCACAAATTCAAGCCAAGATCTTTACAATGACCTTTAACATGACTGTCCTGGAGACACAATTCTTTTTATTTTCTTAATAATATATATAATAAACTAAAAAAAAAAAAAACTAACTTCAAGATTCAAAAGAACAATTTTTGAACAAAGATTATATTTTTTGTAAAAAAATGAATAAAAATCCTTTATATTTCTAAATAAGTATCATTTTATAAAATAAATGAAGTTTTTCTTTTGCATTGATGTTTAAAATCAATACATAATTATTTTTAAATATTAATAATAATATCGAAAAGTTTAAATTAAGAGTGTATTTATGCACTGAAAAAACCTTTTATATTATATTGATACTCAAAATACTAAATAATATTAATAAAAATAAAAAGAAAAAAATATACTTTAATTAATAAATATTCTTCATAATTAATGGAAATTTTAAATATTAAAAATAAAAAATATAAAGTTTAAATTTTTTAATTCAAAATTCAAAAATAACTTCAACAGAATTAACAAAGTTATACTTTTTATATTTATTTCCTTCGAAATCAAAATTCAATCAGCGTGCGATGAATAAGTTATAAAGTCGAACAAAAGTAAAACTAAAACTAAAATTAAGTTGAGTTTATTTAAAAAACATCCTTTCAAATAAAATGTACCAGCAACCAAAACAAATTAAATGTGTGTACAGCAGAATTGCACAACATTTTTTTTCATTATTGTATTTACTACACCCGAGAAGGCCAATGAAAAAGTATGCAAATATAAATATGAATACACACCATCCGCGGTTAATAATTAAACATTAAAACTAATCAAAAGGATTTCAACAACAATTTTGTTTTATTTCTTCTTCTTTTTTTTTTTTTATTCATATACATCATACAGTTCATGACTAGAAAGTGCTGACACTAGATATTGTAACATCGCACTCAACTCGACTCTTATGGTCTTTAATATCACTTGTGTATAAATTTTCTTCATAAATTGCCTGTTTAATATTCTTAGTATCAAATAAACAATCTTGGAAAAAAAAAAAATTCTATTTACATTAATTAATAGTTATAATTTTAAATCTCTCGATTTGAGAAAAAAATGTTTGAAATAAAAGTTGTAGAGAAATTAATTTTGACCCATTTTGATATCATTGAAAATTTTTGTAAGATCAATCAATATTTTGATAGATATATTTGTGTTTTGTACAAGTGATATGACATTTTTGAAAACATTACAAAATTAAAACTTAATTCATTGATTAAAAACAAAATTCAATAATAAATTTTAAATTATTCAGAACTAACTTTGTTAAAAAAATTATCTTGTAAAGAAATAGTTGTCAATGTCCAAATTTTAAGTAACTGCTTAGAAACAACAATTTCGAAGTTAATCATAATTTTGAAACTGGATGAAATTTTAATTGAAGAAAACAATATTTAGAACTAATTTGTTATATATTTATTGACGACCTACCCGAATAAATTACACGAAAGTCCGATCAATATTGTGATTATTGAATCTACATCATTTTTATCCTATGATATAGCCAATAATTCTAAAACGGCTGCAACAGTAAAACTGTTTGATTAAACGAACTCTAAAAGGAGTAATAATCGAGGCTATTACCACTTCTGAGGAGTCAAAATTGAAGCTTAAGAAAAAAGAGCTTTACGATGCAACCGAATTTCAATATCTTGTCTAGTTCGGTAATTATACCAAGAAGTGGTAAAAACATCAATTTTTACGATTTTCAAAATTTCAAAATCTTGTCATTTCCAAATTATTCGCCCAATTAAACTCATCTTTGAACTTAACCTTGGTCTTTATTGATAGATAAAGCATGTTGAGTTTGAGAAGAATCGGTTATAAATTAAAAACGCTATCGTGCTGACAAGCCGCGTTACATCGTATAAAATACATACATATATAAACTTTTGAATGAACTACATTTTCTGACTCAGTGACAAACTAAGTCATAAAATGGCTAAATTTTTTAAAAGTTGCGCCATGAGGACGGCTGCAATAGTTAGATTTTTATGAAATCTACTAAAAAGAAAAAAACTTTTATATTTTCCAAAATTTTGATTTTAGAGAAAAAGTTTTAAACAAAATTTGTAGAGAAATAAATTTTGACCCATTTTGGTCTCAGAAATTTTTCTTAAGCTCAATATTTAAAAAGATAAACTAATTTTTCCTCTAATTATTTATAAATCCTAGCAAAATATCTCTAACCAAAATGTTATTGTTCCAGCAGCAGAAAATCCTAAAAAGAACCGCGGAGGACCTGGAGTCATCAGGAGGCAGCACAGTAGAGCCGAATTTCGGCGAGCCTCCAGTAAAAGTGCAATGTACCCAAGGGCAGCAGCACCAGCACCAACAAACGCAATCCTCAAGCAGCTCAGGGCACCACCCAATGAACCAATTACCCTCCGGAAACAATTCCTCCTCCAGCGGACAACCTGCCCCCGGCAGTACTTCCAGTTCCAACGAAGGACTAACCAAATTCTCTGTAGAAATAGTCCAACAATTAGAGTTCACTACCTCCGCAGCGAACTCCCAAGCGCAGCAAATTTCCACAAACGTCACCGTGAAAGCCCTGACCAACGCTTCAGTAAAAAGCGACCTAGTAAACACTTCCTCTCCTGGTCCCAAAGCCGACCCAAGCTCCAGAGCTTCTTCCCAAGGGCCGGGTATCGGTTGCGTGGACATCGGAAATCTGGTAGAATGCAAGCAAGAGCCCGATAACGATTTCGTGGACCTTGAGCAGTGCGCAGCAGCCGTTGTGAAAGACGCAGCAGCCAACGGAGCTGGCTTTCCAGGGTTCTCTGATTTCATCGACGAAACCGGGGATGAAATGTTAAATGCGGACACTTTTAAGGACCTGATCTCCGAAATCAACGATTACCCGTTGATGGACGAGTTTGATTTCGATGATAAGGGCATCGAGTCTCTCACAGTGAACCACGGATCTTCAGGAAATTCCGGGAACTCCGTCCCGGGGCTCAGCAACGGAATTAAGCTTGAAGACGACAAGGACGTCCACAGCCACAATCATCAAAATGGCGTCGCTAATGGGTCTCTTGCCTCCAATTCTAGCCCCGGATTGGGTGCTCAGTACTCCCCCAGGCTGCCGTACTCCAGTTTGGACTTCAAGTCAGAAATCCAAAGCCCCGCAGCGTCTACGTTGAAGCAAATGGCGGAGCAGCACCAGAACCAACAGCACAAAAATCAAATGGGCCTTGGTCCCTTCACCCCCGCTGGAAATCCAGCTCGTGGTCCTGCTTCAAGGTCACCTTACACGGAGTTTCCCCAATTTGGGAACCCAGAGTACCTTGGCAGTCCTGGAAGCAACGGAACTTCCGGAACTGGGAACCAGAACGCACAAAATTCAGTTGCTGCTTCTTATCACAAGAGCACCAGCAATCCGGGCTTCCAGTCGCAAGCTAGTGATATGTTTGCGAACCAGGCCCCGTTCTCGGGCTTGGGAGATATGAAGCGGTCCCAGTCGATGACTGGCAAGCCCAATATGCTTGGGCCTTCGGGATACAAGCAGCAGTACTCGCCGTATGGAAGTCCTGGGTCCATGCCCAATCATGGAAGTCCTGGGTACCCTCTGCCTTCCAGAGGAGCACCTGGTCCGGGACCTAATCAAGGTGGTTCAGGTCCGGGACCTTTTACTGGGTCCACTCCGCCAAGACCGCCCTCAGGGTCTGGGTCTGCGACGCTTCAGATCAACCAGGCGCAGCAGCTACATATTTCTAATCCTGGGCACAATATTCAGGTGAGTTTTTTTATTTTTGGTTTTTTGGGATTGAGGGGGTTGAGGGGGTTGGGGGATTGAGGGAAGAAGGGTGAGGGAGCTGTGTTAGGAAAAGCGGAACTGCTAGTGCGCAACAAGTTGCTTCCCCACTTAGAAAGCTGTCTCTTTCTGGATGGTCTACGGGGTTACTCGCTGGTTAACGCTCTTGAGCTGAACCTGCTGGTGCATTGATATCCAGAGTGACGACGTCTGCGCAAATGAACGGGTTTTAAGGAGAGGTGGGTTGTTATTTAGAGAGGGTAGGTTGGTTGGTCTTTTTGGGATTCGGGGGAATTTTAAGGGATGTAGAGAGTTTTGAGGGGAATTTTTTTAGATTAAAGAAGGATAGAGTTTTGAGATTTGAGAGATTTTAGGGTATTTTTTAAAAAAGATTTAAATACTGGTTCAAAAAATTTTTTTGATGAATTTATATTAATAAACTATTACATACTCAATTTGTTTTAATAAATTTTTTAAAACTCAACAAAAATATGGTTATAATATTATAATTTTTTATAATGTTAACTCGCCTAAAACGGTACTAAGATGGCCAAAAACGGTACTTTTAACCTAATTATTTTTGAGGAATTTAGTATTCTTGGAACAATAATGAGTTTTTTTTATTGAAAATAAAAAGGCTTGATAGATAAAAATAAGGTTTTGTTGAAACTCATTTTGAAAGATGAAACTAAGTTTGATAGAGGAAATAACGAATATAGAATCAGAAGATTGGTTGAGTCAAGTTTAGGTTATTTGGTTTGAAAATAGTAAAATTGTTGGGAAATTGGTAGAACTATATAACTCTATAGAATAAAGAATTTTTGTTCAAGTTTTATTTATTGAATTTTGTAAAATAGCATTATAAAATATTGAAAATAGATCCATAGTATAAAACCATTATTTATAGGAAATTTTATTAGCTAAAATTTTGAGTCTTTTGTATTTTTCCTCAAAAATCAATATTTTAATAGTTATAGCTATTTTTATAGTAGTTAGACAATGATTATTATTTTTAAGTATGTGAGTACTACTTAAGTATTTATATCTCCTAAAATTAATTAATGGTTAATTTATTTACGCAAAAAATTATTTTTTTTTTTTTTCAAGTAAAAATTATTGACATCTAAAACAAAATTTTTTTTATTAATTTCTTACAAAATTATACAAGATTTCATTTTTCCTAAATTATGATATCAATTCAATTAAAATAACTTAATAATAATAATAATTTTTTTTAATTAAATTATGAAAATCGCCTCATAGTTTAAAAAAAATTTGTATAGGAAATTTTCTAAGCTACAATTTAGGTCTCATAATTTTTTGATAAAATCGATACTTCAGAAGTAATAGCAATTTTTTAGAGCAACAATCAATTATTCAATATTTAATTCAAAAATTAAATTCGAGCCTGTTAGTAAATTTCTTGAATAAATTCAAAATTTTTTTACATATTATGTTCTTCCACTAAGTTACCTCTTTCTTCAGTGGACAATTTTAAAAAATGAATCCAAGCTCGACAAATAACTCTAATCGGTATGTTAATTTTATTCCAGAATTTCCAGGGTTATCGTTGGCTCACTATCTGCCAAACAATTAAATTCATTATTTAACATTTTATAAATATATATATTTGTATATCAAGCATCTTGTCACCGGCTCGAATAACCCCCAGTCACCTTTATGTTAAACAGCGAACGTTAATTGCGGAAACATTGGAACTTTTTTTTTTTTCTTACGACTGACGGGTGATCGGGAAAAATAAAAAATATATAACCACGTCGCCGATGATAATTTTATGTATGCTCAACTTAACTAGCTTATATATAAATATACGTATACAATATACAATATATGTAAGATAGAACAAGCCCAAGGTGTTCTTTTGTATTCAGATTATTTACATATGTACCGGTTTAATGGAGATATTTGTTGCTCGATTTCCGGTTACAACTATTGAGGGTAACATCGATATTTCTTCACATAAACAAGATTTTCGATATGAAAATAACATTATTTTTTTTCTATTTAAATTCAATCAGTCGCTTCCTTTTTATTAATAGTTTGTCCGATTTTTTTGCATCCATTGAATATTTTATTGTAATTTATTATAATTTATATTGAAAAAAATTTTTTTTTATTGTAAGAATTATTACACATTTATTTTCAATTATATTTAATGGATAAATAAATATATTTTTTGCTTTGTTAATTTAGTATAAAAATAGCTTTGAATTTTATAAATAAATTCTAGGGTTTCTTTTAAGTTTAAAATGTCGCGGCGATAAGCAAAAGTTACACATACGTGGGAGGCGCGAGTTCGATTCCCACTGACAGAAAAAAAATTTTTTTTTTTTTTTCAAATAAAGTCGTCGGTAAAAATTCAATACTTTCTAAAGTTAACATAAATTAAAGTAAAATTTATTTAATTTCACTGATAGAAAATTTTATTTAATATTAATAAATTTATTTATTTATTAATTTATTAAATATAATTTTTTAAATATGAAATATTATTTTTTAACTATTAATAAATACTTTTTTTTCTTTACAATTTATTAAATCATCACATATATTTTATTTATAACATTTTTAATTATTTTTCAATATTAAAAATTCAAATTTTTAATTTTATATTTTCTGTTGAAAAAAAAATTTTTTTTTCAATTTTTTAGTTAAAAAAATTAAAAAAAAAATATACAACTCTATTTTTTGACATTAAATTTAACTATATAACAAAATAAATGTGGCTCTTAATAGAAAATTTTATTTAATATTAATTAATAAATTTATTTATTTATTTAGAAATTATTTAATACATAAAATATTATTTTTTAACTATTAATAAATATTTTTTTTTTATATAATTTATGAAATCATCACATCCATTTTATTTCTAAAATTTTTAATTATTTTTCAATCTTAAAAAATTCAAATTTTATATTTTGTTTACAAAAAAAATTTTTTTAATTTTTAGTTAGAAAAATTTACAACACTATTTTTTGACATCAAATTTAACTATAAAAAAAAATTAAATGCGGATTTTAATTATGATGTTGGCACAACGAGCAAAATGTGTGTGCTGATACACGAGCGCAAAAATTTTTATCTATTCAATTTAAATATATTTATTTAATTTTTTAAAAATTATTCATTGATTTATTTAATATAAAAAAATTATTATTTAATTTTTAATAAATTTTTTTTCAATGAAAAAAATTAAAAATAATAAAAGTTAAAAATTTATCAAGCTTAAATAAAATTTTTTCTATCAGTGTAATTTTTCACAAAAATAAGAATAAAAATTCTGAAGCTATGTACGGAATTTTTAGAATGATAATCATACTATATTTTATTGACGTATAATATGACAGCGAAGAATTACATCAAAAGCAATAAGTTAAAAGTGCGTTACAAGTATACAGTAGTTGAACACGTATAACTGAACAACATAACAGAAAAACACATTCCATGCACAATAATAATCGTGTCTAGAGTGTACCGTGCTGAAATCAATACTCTCATATGCCTCACTTTTTGTAACCTACTTTGCTCCGTCAACAATATTTTAAATAATTGTTAATACTTTGTTACAATTTCCATAATCTTGGCTCCTCCTCCTACTCTCCAACTCTTCAACAAAATAGTCCCAATTTGCATTCCAGAAAAAATTAAATTTCTCTCTTGATATATTAGCTTACAAATTTTGAGGTCCTGATAATTAAAATAAAAATATTTTATTAAAATTATTGTATCAATTTTAAGTATTTTCGTTAATAAACTGACAGTCATACAATTATTTGTCTTACATTGCAGAATCGTGCGACAAGTCGTGGTTTGCGACGGGGCTACGACTTGCTAATTTTAGCTCGACCATGACATCAGTGCGCGTCACTCGGTTCGTTCGTTTCTATTCTCGCGCAATTGTTTCGCGCAGGTATTATTTACTTATTGCTTCCAAGATATCAAAACTAAATATAAATATAAATAACAGCAACATTTATCGCCGTCGATATAATATCAATCGCTGTCAAATTTTTGCTTTTACTTGACATTGAAATTTTTTTTACTGAATAGTAAATTTTTCCGGAAAAAAATTTTTTCATAAAATATTAATTTTTTGCAAAAAATGACATGATAAAATTTTATTAAATTAAATTAATGTATTTTTTTAAATTTTATACAATACTGGCAACCTTGCAGTCACTATGTGACTGCCGTGATTTGTAAATTGTAAATAAATAAAATTTTGCTTTATTAAGTAATTACTTTTGTTAAATTGCACTGTACTTTGGTAAATATTGACGTTTTTAAAGATATAAGCTCATCCCGATGTTACACTCATCGAGAGCTTTCATTTGAGTACCCACATGCATTTTTTATATAGTTTTCATACATACATATATATATTATATATAAATATATGAAAAATCGATGTGGGTACTCAAATGAAAGGTCTTGGTGAGTGTAATATCAGAATGAGTTTATATCTTTAAAAATGTTAATATTTCACAAGATAATTGTTAAATTGCTCTGTACATTCTTAAATATTGACCTTTTTAAAGATATAAGCTCATCTTGATGTTACACTCATCAAGAGCTTTTATTTGAGTACCCACATGCATTTTTTATATATTTGTCATATATACATATATATAATATATGTAAATATACGAAAAATTGATGTGGGTGCTCAAATGAAAGGTCTTGATTAGTGTAATGCCAGGGTGAGCTTATATCTTTAAAAATGTCAATATTTCACAAGATACAAGGTCATTTCTTAATTATATAAAAATAGAAAATTTTTCTTATTCTCTTAATAATATAGATGAGCGTTATAACTTCCTCATAGTGTATACAATTTCATATAATTGTATTAAATGCTACTATTGTTCAAAAAAATTTTATAAATTTGTAATAATAATAAATTTTTTAACAAATTAAAAAAAATATATTTTAATGTCAGCTAATTTTTGTTAAAAAAAAAAAATATTCTTAACGTCTATTTTCAGAAATAATTTAAAAAATCAAATAAACTCATTCTCAGTCTATGACTCGG